ACCAGAAAAAATACACAATAAAGAACCCTGTTTGACCTCAACACCTGGAATGTCCAAAAAATTCAAAACTATGAAGTAAATCACAAGAAAACGAAAAGCAAAAACAAGTTAATTCATTTGCTACGACCAGTTATTCGGCGGGTTTTTCTGATTCGCTTGCATGTGCACGTGCTTTATGCTTATGAAGTTTTAACCAGGTGGAGAACTGTTCCCCACAACTAATGCATTTGTAGGGCTTCTCGCCAGTGTGCATCCTCATGTGTCCTTTCAGGTCGGTTTTGTGACTGAACGCCTTATCACATACGGTGCATTTATACGGTTTTTCACCTGTATGTGTTCTGGTGTGCCTTTTCAAAGTCGTGTTGGTAGCAAATTTTTTCTTGCAGTAGGTACACTTGAAGGGCCTTTCCCCCGTGTGCACTCGCGAATGATTCTTGAAAGCAGAAGAATCCGCAAACTCTTTACCGCACTCGTTGCAAGTGTAAGGCTTCTCACCGGTGTGGATTCTCATGTGCTTCTTCATGTTCACACAGGCGCTGAAGCTTTTCCCGCAGGTGCTGCATTTGTAAGGCTTTTCCCCAGTGTGAACCCTGACGTGCAGGTCGAGATTATAACGTCGGTTGAACCCGTTTCCACAGACGTCGCACTTGAAGGGTTTCTCGGCTGAATGAATCACTAAATGTTTATTTAAATCCCAACTTTCCCGGAACATCTTGCCACAAGTCTCACATTTGAACGTCTTCTCAACTGTGTGGCTCTTCATATGAAATTTGTAGTTTTTGAAGTTGGACATCACTTTGCCACACCGGTCACACTTGTAAGGATCTTCCTCATCTTTGGCATTACCACCATCATTCTGGCTTGATGCCTTTAAGCGTTTTTCACCTTCCCTATGTCTCTTCTTTTGTGTTGGATCAGTACTTCCACTTGATTTTTTGCTCCCATTGTTGTTTCTCTTACTGTGTCTTGCCTCTGTAGTTTGGGTGGATTCCCCACTCTGATCCTTATGTCTTTTCCGTTGTGTTGGGTCGGTGCTTCCTCCTGATGGTGCGCTCCCATCATTTTGTCTTTTCAGCAGTGCTGCTTCCTTACTACTTGAAGACTTTGCATCTCTATGTCTATGCTTCTTGTGTTTTGTTAAATCCCTGCTTCTGGTTGATGATGTTCTCTGATGTGTATGGTTCCTACTTGAGGTTGATGTAGTACTTGTAGTCTCATCACCAGGCATCTTACTTGGCGATGTTTCTGTACTTTCGGCCAATGTGGCTTCGTCACTGTTAGAATTCTTACTTTGTGCCATTTCAGTGTTTGAAGGAGAAGCTAGTTTTCCTTCACTCTGCTTCTTTTGTGCTAGGTCAGGACTTGAAATTGAGGATGTGTTCCCCTCAATGGGTTCTGCCTGAACTGGACTTTCATTTGATGCTACCTGTTCATGGTCACTAGTCTTATTTTGAATTGGCTCAGTACTTTCCATTGATATGTCGTGACATGTAAAGTCTGGTGAAGGCTCAGTGACATCATTTGCGTCCCAGTCTTTATGCTTCTCATTTGGCATTAACTGAGGAGCTGTACTTGATGACATTTTTCCATCTTTGGGTTTCCTACTTGCAGCCAAATCAGTACTTCTGCTTGTTTCTTTCTTGCTGCGTTTCTTTCTAGATGCATACTCATCACTTGTAGCTGATGTTTTCTTACCACTGCTTTTTTCATACAGGCTGACAGATGAGCTTGATCCCCCATCGTGACTTGACTTATTTGCCGCTGGCTCACCGTTCCCTTTTAACGGGGGGCTCGTTTGATCGTGTTCCTCATGTGGCGTTACATCGGGGCATCTAGTTTCTGTTGGGCTCTTTGTTAGTGTTTGTTCAGTGCTTTTTGTAGA